ATTTGAAGCCCCATAGAGGTAGTAATTGTTGGGCATTGAAAAAATAAGTGATCTATTGTCACTGTGCATGGGAGATCTCTTTGCCAATTCTTTACAAATTGGAAGCGCTCCAAAGAGATTAATATTGCTCTTTTCACTAAATATGCATGGATGGAGACTAATGAGTCAACCACAACAATTTTGGGCAATTAAATTTCATATAAGGGCAAGTATTGCCCAAATTTATAGTAGTATTATAATGGGTCCTAAGTAATGTGGTGAATCAATCAAATTGGTGAAGACATGTCAAATTGATAGCTAGCAAATTGAATCAAAATAGTTGTTGGGCTATCAAAAATGGACAACAGGTATATTCCTTCCAAGATTAAGCGAAGGAAGAGCTGTGGCACGAGGACCATTAACAAAGCAAGAGCTAGAATCAATTTTTAATTAGTCAAGGATTTCCTTATGCTTGATGGTTCATGGGATATGGTGAAGTTGAATCAACTAGTATCAGCAAAGCAGGTTCAATTTGTTACATAGGTGCATACTCACTTATTGAAATGGACACGTTGCTTAGAAGTATAACATAAATGCTCGATTTACTGTAAATTAATCATGCAATGTATAAGCTTACTCCAAGATGAATTACTCAATAATGCCTCCATATCACCAATTTGGAAATTGAAGGTGAAACTGCCATTTTATTTTCAATTATTTATGCGGAAAGCATGTTGGGAAGGAATCATATGCCTCAAAGAAACAGTGGTGCTTAAAAAAAGAACAATGCTCCAACTTGTGCCTTTTGTAAGGAGGGATAGGAATTGAGCACACACCTAAACCTTCAAATGTGAATTTTCAAGAGCAATATGGCTACAAACCCAAGTAGGAATGAACTAGGCTTGTTAATGGGTCAGGTTTGAGTCAGTTTCAAGTAGAACCGGAATGGATCCGATAAGAAATACTAAGGACCCAAAATAAAACCAGACCCGATAGGGTCTGTGATTTTAGACCCAAAACCGAATGATCAATTCTTAGGACAGAGGGTCTGAATTGATGGACCTGATTATAATAAATCTGTTGAAAATATTATATATATATATTGATTTATTCATTATATTATATATAATTTTTATTATAATATATAGTTAGGGTCAGGTTTGAGTCAGTTCGGGACTAGGTGGAACCAATTCTGAACTGATAATAATCAAAACAATATATCAAAAACTACAACTAACTCATCGGTTCCAGTTCCTAGAACCATAATCGACCCAATCGGTTTGGGTCCACTGGGTTGGACCCGACCCATTGACAGACCTATGACCAACTCAAATTCAATACACAATTATTCTTTCATCCGTATAATTGAAGGTTGGATGTCAAACAAAATAGCTGGGTTTTCTAAGGATGTCCAACAACACTATTGGGCCACTTTGATGATAATACTAAGACTCATTTGGGACGCCAAAAATGATATATTTTTCTAAGGAATACAACCAGATGCAAGGAAATTCTTTATCTCAAATACATTGGTATTATATATATCAGAATGGTTTTTCTTACATATTTGTGGATGGATCTTTTCTCCCTGTAAGCAAGGTTCAAAGTATCGGAAACGTAAGGTATATTGGAAAGACAATTTTAAGAGACGTATCGGGATATGTATGGATACGAATGAAAAAACAAGATACACATAAATATAATAGAAAATTCAAATAAATCCTAAAAAATACATTACTAACAATACTTACAAAATTTATATGATTGTGAATAAGTCATTTAAATGTAAAAAAAAAAATAATTTAATGATTTATATAAAGTGTGACATATCGGGACCAATCAGTAACCATTGAAAAATGATAGAATAACTAAAATGTAAATGTCAATTTTCAAAAAACCAATATAATTAATTTTAATATTTATTAGTATATAAATTTTAATAATTAATTCTAGCATTTATTAATAAACACTTGTCACACATTAAGAGAAGTTAAAGTTTACTTACAATTAAAAAATACATATGATCATTGCAAACAAATATATGTGGCTTATTGTCGAACTTGTATTTGTTAAAATCAACTGGTTGCCAAGGTTCAAACCTTAGTATAGCTAAAATTTTGGAGTTTTTACATTAACAAAACTAAATTAATGAGAGGGAATCATTAATTAAAGGAATTAATGAGAGAATTTAAAATAGACTTTAGAATAATTAACTAATTAATGAACTTAAATACAAAAGTAATGATATTAATGAGGGATTCAGTATTAAATATTGCTAATGCAAACCGAAACCTTGCCTACAAGTGGCAATGCAGGTATTGGCTACTTCATAATATCCAACGATAATCACACAAATTGTAGCTTACAGGGCTACTAAATTAGAGGATGTGGAACTATGTGCCATTATGGAAGCTCTTCAACATGCAAAAACAATGGAATGGCAAAGGTGTATGTATTGTCTAATGCAAACGTTTTAATTAAGAAAATCAAGGACACTCATGATGATAGACCATGGTGCTTGCAGCTCGTTTGGATCAGTTTTGGCAGTTGTGAAAGTTCATTTTTCTGATGTGATTCTTAAGTTTTCAAGGAAGATTCAAAATGTTTTAGCACATAGCCAATTCTTAATGTAAAAATCAGCAAGATATCATCTATGAACGAATTTACTGTTTTGTCAATGAAAAGGATAAATTACTGAAACCTTAAAGTTTTTGGTTGTTGCTGAAATCTCTTTTGAAGTTTGGCAATTGCATTCATCTTCCCTCAACTTTTTGACATAGTTGTTTTTGTTAGAATCCTCTAAAAAATGGCATGAAAATGTTTAAAAATACCCATGTAGCTATTTTGAGCAAAATATTTATTTCCCAAATTCTCTTCATATTAATTGCTACTCCAAACCCTCGAATCCCTTTTCTGAAATTGATTCATTTTTCAAATTTATCATTCATATCAATCGCTCAAAGGTAAAATTACAACTTTAATTTCTTTTTTTATTCTTCTTATTCATAAAGTTTGCATTACTTATTTTTTATATAAAAATTACATGAATATTTTAGACGTTTTCATGTCTCTTGTTTCAAGAGAAGTGATTGAAAATTACCAAATTTTAAACGAGGTTTTAGCAATAACAAAAAAAAAAAAAAACTTGTGGGGAAATTTCAGCAATTTTCCCAAAAAACACAATATGAGTATCATTCATTTACAATCATAAAAGATATGCATTCAAGATGAATGTTAAGATCATCTCATTAAACATTTATAAATCTTTAACAATAAATATACTCCCAAAATGACTGAAAATTTTTATGAATGATGTGCAATGTTATTATTCCAGTTGATAAGGGCAACTTTTTATCTTGAATATTAATAAAAAGTATTATTTTTATAAAATAACTAAAATAAGATAGCTTTTTTTTGGAAAAATATCAAGAAAGAAATGGCAGTGGCACTGTTCCTCTTCATTCTCCTCGGCCTCTGCCTCTGTATTCATACGAATACAGTGGAGACTGAGTTTGTGCAAACCTGTAGGAGCCGATGTAAACGATGAAAAGATCAGCAGTGACGAGGGCCTGAAGCCAGTGCAACAATCCAAGCAAAAAATGTTCTTCTCGTTTTTCTGTGCAAACTCATGAATCAAACGCTGATTAAAGAACTCCGCGAGAAGGGGCTGAAGCCAGTGAGGAAGACAAGAAATACCCACCTGAAATATAACAGTAAAATTCAATTAATTACCATGAAAAATCTACATACAAGTTGCAAAACGAAACTACAACCATGAAAGCAAGTGAAAACTATCATTTTTCTTTTCTTTTCTACTCTGCTTCTATGTAGAAAAAGAGAAGGTGGGATGATCACTGTTTATAAAGATAATGAGACTCAGCATTAGAGGTTTCCTGCAGGGAGAAACAAAAGAGGAAAGGAGAAAAGAGGAGAGGAGTGTAAAAAGGGAAACGGCGCCTGCAATTGCAACTACTGGTTACTGTGACCAAGGAAGGAAGCAACAGGAGTAAATCCATTGTTTCTTTTCATGGGTGTCGTCTTCGAATCCAGTGTATTCGCATGGGCAAATCCAGTGTATCCCCTCAATCAGCATGAATTTACAGTAAACCATGAAGACGACGGCGCCTCCACTGATATCTGTGAATCCAGTGTATCCCCTCAATCAGCATGAATTTACAGTAAACCATGAAGACGATGACGCCACCACTGATACGATCGTCTTATCCGCCCATATCAGTGCGCAAAACCTTCGTCATCCTCTACCTTCTCTTATCCGCCTTCGTCTTCCTTCAAGTGTCGCCGTCTTGACGAGGAACATTGTCATTTTGTCTTTTCTTGATAATTTTCCGAAAAAACTGTCTTATTTTAATTATTTTATAAAATAATATCATATAGAAACTCATTAAAAATGAATTTAAATCAGCGCCACAAGATTGTCCCTCATAACGTTCCACAGCACAAGACTTTGTTAAAAAAAAATAAACTAACATTTTTAGTTACGATGTGCTGCCCACAATACATACCCCACATAAACATCCAATCGTGTATAGGTAATATTTTTCCCCTATTTATCCTGGAGATATTCTCAATGCACGGTTGAATGTACATGGGAAAAACGTGGCATGTGGGTTGCGAGTTCACCTAACACACCCAGCAAGTACAGCTAATCCAGTCTGCTTGAAAGTGGTATATACGGAAAAGGCACGATACCTAAAAGAATTGATACCCTATCCACGGGTATCATACAAGTGGTAACCAATAAGACAATAACCAACGGATGAGTATGACATTCATCAAAATTCACGGGGCGTTTTGATTGGTCAAATTTCTCGGGTATCATAGAAAGTACTTTTGTGCTTGAGGAAATACTAACAGAGAGCCCTTTGCCAGCACTCGCATGAACGAGTGATTCTCCAGCTGTCATCATTTGATTGGAGAAATGCACGTGTCACAGTCACACAGCTTGCTGAACACAGCAGATCCCGACTCTTTTACACTTCTTTTTCTCTTGCAAGGTCGGTTCCTGGAATCTTCTTTTTGACTCTCCCTTTATAAAACCAACAGAGGAGAATCAGAATTCCTTCACGACGACAGAAATCCTTCTGTTAGTTCTCCAATTTCTTTGATTTCACCAACAATAACTATAACTAGTATCTGTTATTTCGTCATTTCCTGTGCCGAAGATGAGTGACCCCAAGTATGCTTATCCATATCCTGCTCAAGGTATTCCAATTTCACTACTTTCTCTTTTGTTATTTTATTTTGTTCTCTCCATTAATCTACATGTTTCATCTATGATCCTCACTCTCTGTTTGATCTTTAGTTAAATAAGCTTATTCTATTGGTAATTTCTTCCTTGCTTGCCCATTTTCTGGACAGAGATAGAACAGGGCTCACTACCTTTTACTTTTAATTGGCGTTTATGATTTCTTTCATGGTCTTTTTTTTTTGTTTTCATGATTAAATCTCCACCCTTTTCCTGTTTCATGAAGGATTTGCTCTCTACATATTATTTTGGTGATGTTTTTGATTTCCTTGCTATTTTTGCTTGTGAATCCTTATGAACATTCCCTGGTAAAAAGCAATAATACTGATAAGAATTAAAAAAAAAAAAAAACTTTCCTTGGTTGGTAATCTTTCTGTTCTTTTATTTTACCTTTTTAAGAGGGATTAATGAAAACTTATCATGTTTTCTTGTGGAAAATTTTCCTGACAGGCTATTATCAAGGGCCTCCTGTAATGGCACCTCCACAATATGCTGCTCCACCACCCAGGAGAGGACCAGGTTTCCTTGAAGGATGGTAAAAGCTGCTCTGCCTTTCATACCTTCTTTTCCCCATTTCTTTAAAGGGTTCTGTTTATTATTCTTCCATTCTTGTTTGGTGGGTTGCTAACTATACTACTTTCCCTTCTGTTTTGCAGTCTTGCAGCCTTATGTTGCTGTTGTCTCATTGACGAGTGCTGCTGCGATCCGTCCATCATCTTCGTGAGCTGATCCTTCCTGTGTCTCTGTTTCTGTTTCTATCTGTTGTAACGATGGGGTGTGATCCTGTTTGTAGACTTAATGATATCTCAGTATCCATCCTTTCTCTAATTTCTAAATAATATATTGGGTAAGATAGATAAATCACTGGTTTCTTCTTTGTTTTTGTTTTTTTTTTATCCTTTCTTTCGATAAAGATTAATCATGGAGGAGAGATTGGTGGATGTGAGTAAGACAATTTGGTTGATGAAGTCTACTATCCAGGTCCCGAACTCTAACATGGACTCGTGGAAAAAGTTGCTTCTCATTTTCTAAAGTAAACAATGACAGCGACGTTGATACTCTGTTTTCATACGCTTACTACGCCTATATATGCAGTAGCATTAATAGGTTCTACCTGCCTCTGCGGCTCTGCCTACCAAGGGGAAAACAAATTAATCTGAAAAAATGTAGGGGCACGAAATAACGCACTGCTGTTACTGGTTGCACCTTACGCTATTCAGTGTTGAGCATCTGATGATCTAACTGATGATGGAAACTTATTCGTTAAGTGACTCACTTGAAATGTTTGCTTATTATTGATGGCTTGGCAAAGCCATCGATAGAAATGCATTTTTTGCTGAGATAAGATTTTCTGCACCAATGCCCACCACTCCACCAGATGGTATGGTTGACGACTTGACGGACCCCTGTTTCTCGTTGAAACAAGTATGGGATTTATTTATTTAAAAAAATCCCTTTTATTAATTGCAGAGTCATCACGTTGCAAACAACCTTCGTAGATGAGAAGAAAAATTTATAGAATGTTTTTGTTCGTTGCCTACGGTGTGCTACTACGGAAGAGGCAGAGTGTGTTGGCGTTATCGTCGCTTTGTACCCTGTGAAGCTTGTGGTTTATTTGCAATTTCAGAACCAGCATTTCTGGGAGGTGTTTGGTGCAGCAGCGTTAATTGGAATGATGATGTGGTATGTTTCTCATAAATTTGTATTAATCAGCTCAAAATGCAACGCCACTATCTGTGATCAGATTCTACAGAAAAGAGGCACTTCGATGTGGAGGGTATCCTTAGAATTGCTCAATGTGTAAGGAGGATGATCAAATCATATGCAAGCGCTTGTATATATGAGAGCACACTAGTTTCCTATACGAGTTCTCCTGTATGATTTCTGAATTCTGATCATCCTGTATGATAACGCCGACGGTTTACCAATCACAGTGGTTGATGGAAAGACACGAAGTTAGGAAAAAGTTGTCAGTTTGACGAAAACAAATTAGATGCTTTGGAGTCTGGACCTGAAGTTGGGCTTGGTCTGGATGGATAATGTGGCTAATATCTACTCTATTACTTCAATTCCTATATTATGTACAATTCAGTGTTAATAGAGGCATTTAAACCGTAAAAAGGAGATAAATCCCTTAAAATAAGGAGTGAACAGAAATTTTCAACCCTCCAAAAGAAATGTAATGAGACATCCCTTAACTCAATAAATGATTGTCGACCTTATATGTTGGTGAAAGACTCAACTACCGTGGCTACGGAACATTATAGCCGATTGCAGAAGTGCCTATCTCGCCTTTTTACTTGCTTGGTTCATTTTGTTCGAAGTTCTGCTTATTTTGCAGCCCATAAAGGAATGGGACTTGCTTCTCATAGAACATGGTTTTCGAATCGCCGATGATCCGGATGGTCGGACCATTTGGCTCTGGAATCGTCCAGGCAACTGTTTTCATTTTATTTTAAATTCGATCTCTGGTCAATAGCTGTTGAATTAATCAATGACCTATTGACTTGGGTGATTGAACTGTTGACCTATTGACCTGTTTAATGGTATTTTAGTCGTTTTTTATTTTTAGTTATTTTTTATTTTTTTTGTCAGAACAGGCCATCCATTTAAACCAGATGATTGAACCGTTGACTCAGAAACTGGTAGTCAGAATGGTTCCGTTTCTAAATTACTTTTTAAAACCATGTCATAGAACATTCCTCACACCCGCCTCACAACATATCCCACTGTGTACTGAGAACATATATCCATGAATATAAATAATAAATACAAGTGGGGAGATGTTCCTTATGTGCAGCTGGAACATGCTGTGAGGTTGGTGTGAGAAGCGCTCAGTGAGGAGCAAGCAGATCCAATGTTCAAAATATTGATAGAGCCAATATGCCAGTAGGGGCATATCAGTCTGTATCGAAGCTGATTTCTCCTATATTTTTTTAAACCTGGTTCAGAAGGGTCAGTTTAAGACCTATCTACCCTGAACTGGGTTAAACCCCGAAACACCCCCGATAGGGGTGTATTGGGAATCCTTCAATACGGCTCAATGCGTAACTAAATTTCAAACCTTGAGCAGATCTAGACTCCCTGTAAAGTAGCACATAAAGGCGTTTATATGAGCCAGACCTTTTACTTGTTCCTCTGCTCTAGTCTCCAGACTTTCTTGTAACTACCCTTCCATCAGATTTATTGTCAAGCTAGTTAAAAAGAAATTGTCGATGGGCTTTTCTATAAATAAAAAATGAGGAAATCCCTTTCTTTTAACATGCATTTCAATTCTCAACTCAAGAACAAGAAGGCAACAATGTTTTCTGTTTTCCATAAAATACAAGTACTTGTAAGAGAACATCCAGCACTTCACTGTATTTTTTATCTCTCCCAAGGTTCTCTGTTTTTCCATAAAATACAAGGCTCTATTCACATAAAAATGAAGGAAAATTAATAGTTTCCTGAAAATTGTTCTTTGACATTTTCTGGTTATACGAAAAATGGCATTCCTTTAATTTTCCATTAACTCATTTTTTCTGGATGCATAGCAATGTGATGAAGGGCCTAATTCGCAACAATTGAGCTCGAACACCCAACCATTTCGGAACAAGGTTACCTCGGGACAAGGCCACCTCAGCCCCAAGGCACTTCGGCATTTAGTCTAGTTCGGAGCTAAAAAGTATCAGTTCGGGGATACCGATCTAGACCACTACGTGACAACCCCGGAAATCTCTCCAACAGACTCCGAATCCCGCGGGACCACACCGCATAATGGCAAGCCTTATCTCCTCCCCGCCCGGTTTGGGAGGAATTGATAAGCTTTATCAGTTGATAGTGTTATCTCCCAGCTAAAGTGGAAACGGATCCCATTGTAACGGAGACCACGGAACCGATCCGCAAAACCCGCGAGGATTCAACTATATGATGTAGCGTGATCTGGCTGCTCCCTACTGGAGGATGATCTAGCTTTCAGTCGGACGACGAGATAGGTAAATCTGCAAGAAAGGATCAAAGAACCCGGGGTGGCTAGCCCGGCGAGGTTGCTCCGATGCTTAAGTTAGTAAGCTGTTGCGAGCTGAATAGTTTTGAGAATGTAGAGGGCTAGAGAGCTAGAGAGTAGAGAAATCACGCATACCTTGTGCCCTTAGGGTTGGAGCCTTTATATAGTTGAGTCCTCGCGGGTTTTGCGGATCGGTTCCGTGGTCTCCGTTACAATGGGATTCATTTCCACTTTAGCTAGGAGATAACACTATCAATTGATAAACCTTATCAATTCCTCTCGAACCAGGCGTGGAGGAGATAAGGCTTGCCGTTATGCGGCGTGGTCCCATGGGATTCAGAGTCTGTTGGAGAGATTTCCGGGGTCGTCACGTAGTGGTCTGGATCAGTATCCCTGAACTAATACTTTTTAGCTCCGAACTGGACTAAATGTCGAAGTGCCTTGGGGCCGAGGTGGCCTTGTCCCGAGGTAACCTTGTTTCGAAGTGGTTGGGTGTTCGAGCTCAACTATTGCGAACTAGGCATGTCAGGCTGAGTTGTCATCTCATAGTCAGGTAGTGTCCGCATGTCCCCTTTTTACTAGGTCAGGCCAAATCACCCTTCATCAATTGCCCCCCACTCCCTGAGCCAAGGGTTTTGACCCGATGTGGGGAGTTCATGACTAGTCCAGGTGGATTTGGCACGAGGTTTAGGCAATTTGTTGGACGAATCATTTGGTCGGACCTGTTTGAACTTCCGGCTCAACCAGCAACAACCTAGGTTGCGTTGGGTGTACGTGCGGATGTCACACTGTTTATGGACTCCGCGGACGTCAAAAACACACTCAACTGATTTCGTCCTCGGGCGTTGTGCAATCTATTTTCATGAGAGCCGTTGGATCGAGTAGGTCTCAGTCGTTGATCGCCTTGTGGTGAACTATAAATAGGGGGCCGAGGGACCCCTCTTCTTTGCCAAAAAATCTTGTGATTGAGCTCTCCCGAGGTCGCGTTGGAGTCCTTCAGCTCGCTACTTTCTTCATTGTATTCCGAGGTCGTTTTCCTTTGGTGAGTTCGTCTTTTCTTAGTTTGTTGTCCTTTCCTGTTTTAACATGTCTAGCGCTAGCATAAATAGGCTCCTTACCGATTCTAGCGAGCTCGAGGGTGCCGAGGTGCAATCCTCGGCTCCTACTGGCGAAGTCAGCTCCTCGCTAGGTAGTTCTCCCCTTTGCCCCTTAGAGGAAAACTCTTTATCCAAAGTTGGGCCGTCTCAGCCTGAGGAGCCCGAAGCTCGGAAGGAGGAACCGACCTTTAGAGAGGAGGTCCCATCTTCTTCTCGGGGTCGGGATCCAATGACTTCGGGCCTTCCACCATGACCTCAGACAGGCTGCTGTATTTGGTAGCTTGTTATCGTCTTTCTGACAACCTAGTTTTTAGTATTCCTTTAGGTCAGTACCCCTGGGTTCATGGTCACATGAGCTCGCGGTTTTCAAAGAGCAATTCGTAGTCGGGCTGCGCTTCCCACTCCACCCTTTTATTGTAGAAATAATCAAGGCTTTTGACATCACCATCGACCAATTTCACCCGAACTCCATCCGAACTATAGTAGGTACTATCTCCTTGTTCCACGAGTACAACCGACCTTTGTCCTTAGATGTCTTTAGCTCGATCTGCTTAATCAAAAAGAACTCTGCTTGTTTGCGCAGGGAAGTCCGACAAAGCTACTACATCTCTCCTCGGCCCGGGTTCAAAATTCTATTCGGCAGCTCGAACAAAGTACCGGCCTAGAAGAGAAGATATTTTTTTGTTCGGAACCCTGAGGGATGGCCCTTCCCTACTCACTGGAGGGTGGCTATCAAAGACCCCGGGGTAAGCTTAGATGCGGAGACTAGGGCGGTCATTAACTCCTAGAGGGACCTCGGCCTAGAGATAAGAGGTTTCTTGGTCGAGGAGAAGCTAGTGCAAGCTGGGTTGAGCCCTCCTAGTAGGCCTCCACCTTGGTACTCTTACTTTGGATATTCTTTAGTTCGTGACTAATCTTTTCTTTTCCTTTTGTAGTAGCCATGCCGGAGGTCGATGTAGAGAACCTTCTAAAGAGCTTCCAGAGGGGAAAGAAGAGGAAGGCCTCAAAGAAGGCTCGCCGAGAGGCTGGTCCTTTTGCCCTTGTTTCGCCCGAGGTCGCTGCATCGGAGCCGATCTCTGCCGAGCTTCTGGAGGAGGAAGTCCGTCCTCAACCTCCCATTGTGGATCTAGACGAAGGCGCTCCGCCTCACGAACCGGGGAGCTCTTCCGTGCTCGAGCCCCAGCTCCCGAATGAAAGTATAATGACCCCTCGGCTCGGGCTCCTTAAGAGTGAGGATGCCGTTTTTCCTGCCGAGGTCGCGGAGTGGGCCAACATGCCTACAAGTCAGCTCGGAGGTCGGGCTGCCAGCTATTGCGTGGTAGTGAGTATTCTTACTTTGCACTTCGTTTCCTTGTTTGTTTTTTAAGTGTACTTACCTCTACTTCTTTTGATAGGTGAACTCT